AGAAAGATCGGTGTTCTTCTCGCAAGAGAGATCGAAGAGCAGTGGGAGAAAAAGAGAGAGAGAGGACAGTCGCGCCGCGTGTGTAAGCTCGCTCTCGACTCACAATCGTACATGCTCCGGGTGCCTCCCGAAATTCTCAATCGAGCAAAGAAATCTGAGGAGTGCGGCCGCGAGTGTTCCCACGCCGTGACATGTGTTAATATTACACGTACATTTTCCCGCTTCCTCTCCGCCCCCTATTTTCACGCTCTCTTCCTTCTTTTGTTTCATCTCCTATTCGTCATTGCACCGATTTCTCTGTGACGCCCTCCGGGATTTTCTCGCCATCGTGGTCTTCTGCGAACGCACGAGCGCGGAGCGGAAGTCCGTCACATCCAACCAAGTTGTCCATCTTATCGATGAGAATCGATTTGCAAAAATCCACACTGTCTTTTTCCACTTTCTATCTGGCGGGACTACTGCTCTGTACGTCTATTCGTCGTGCAAAAATCTCGCGAGCTCACGCGAGTAGTGTACTTCTATGTGTACGCGTGTACGTGTGAAACGTATGCAGCGAGAACGCGAAGTGCGATCAAGTTGCGTGTCTGGAAAGTCTCCAGGTGGAAAATCGTGAAGAAGAGCGCGCGTGCGCTCGCTCTCGCGCGTGTATACGTGTACGCGCGTGTACTTCTATGCTTTTCGTCGCGCTTGCGCGTGCTGCGCGATTTGCGCGCTATTCGCGTCGCGTGACCGCACAGTGCACAACATCGCTCATCTTGATAGATAAAATAGTGAAAAAAATTAAATCTTACTTCGCTACTATGAGAAGTTCATATCTAACATTTTTTTTTCAAATTCTACGTTTCTAATGATACGTGAAATTTTTTGCACGCTGTATTGCACCAATTAGTGTAATGAATGTATCCGTAGGATGCATCCTTCCAGGATGTCTAGAAATTTCTTCAAGCTTTTGCGCAAAGTTGACGACCAAATATCGCAATATACATAGTAAACCTGAAAGATTTCGAAAGCAATATTTATATGGCAGTTGCAATTATTTGTGCTTTGTTCGAGATATTGTTCAAAAAATATTACACAAAAAATGTTCAATACTATTTGCCAAAATTGTTTTTTGCACTTCCGTAAAGTGGCATTGCAACAATTTCGACTGAAGAGCTATATATAACTTGCAGAAAGAATTTATTTATCATATGTTCTGGCGCGAGATACGTCTTTTTATAAATTTGATCTGGTAAAGTGTGCTATACCGAATAAAATAATCGGGTAATAGTTTTGAAAATTAAAATAACTGTCTAGTGACAGACAAATTATGTATATATTTTATTTCTGCACGATCAAAATCTTGTGTTATAAATAAAAATGTAAAAATTAAATTACTAAAAATTATTAAATTATTAAATTAATCAAAGAAATGCAACAATGCGACATATTATGTGAGCATTGCGCAAATATAATATTGTCGTAATAAATACTATGCAATCTAGAAAAAGGAACAGAGATAGTCATTGCCACGTAAGAACATAAGGTGGATCGAACAAAAAATTGCACTTTACGATGCAGCCATTCGTGTATAAAATAATAAAAAAAGTTTTGCTACATTAACCACTCTGGCAATTATGAAAAAGAAGATTAATGAGACAAATCGAAGATAACAAAAGTAATAATGCAAAATAATACGAAAAGCTCAATAAAAAGAATATCAGAAAGCTCTTCAAAAACAACTGCAGATAACTTAAGCATTACTTCACAATAAATATAAGCTTTAACGTAATTGTCTCATTTCATTAAATATATATTCAACTTTAATTTGACGTAACGTTTGAATCCATAGCGATATTATTTTATATTGGCGATCTTACGAAGCCAGCGACGGTACGTGCGTCATTTATGTGTAAATATCTAAGAGAATTGTATAAGTAATCGCAACAATACACCGGTGCAGCGAAGTGCAATCGTTTCGATTTCGGGGTTCCAGGTATAGCGTACTGTCCGCTGTTGTGCCGCTGCACGCTGCGCTCTCCGCATGACGCACGTCGAAGATGCGAGCGTGCCGGGTGACTGTACTCTGGGTTCATCGTTCTCGGTTATGTAATGTTCGGCCGCGTATGTATGGTGCAAGCGCCTCGACGCTCTGCTTGTGGCGCTAGAGTTGCCGGACGAGAGAGAGAGCGAAAGAGAGAGAGAGAGAGAGAGAGAGAGAGGAGGAGAGAGAGAGAGAGAGAGAGCC